GAGGAGGAGGAGGAGGAGGAGAAGAGGAGGAGGAGGAGAAGAGGAAAAGAGGAACACGAGGAGGAGGAGGAGGAGGAGGAAGAGGAGGAGGAGGAGGAGGAGAAGGAGGAGGAATAGGAGGAGGAAGGAGAAAACGAATAGGAGAGGATGAGGAGAGGAGGAGAAGGAGAAGGAGGAGGAGGGGGAGGAGGAGGAGGAGGAGGTAGAAGATGACGAAGAAGAGGAGTGGAGGAAGAAGAAAACGTCAAGGAGGAGTAAGAGGAAGAAGAAGAACGAGGAGTAGGAAAAGGAAGAAGAAGAAGAAGAAGAAGAGGAGAAAGAAGAACGGGGAAGAACGGGGAAGAACGGGGAAGAGGAAGAGGAAGAGGACGAGCAGGAAGAGGAAGAGGACGAGGAGGAAGAGGAAGAGGAGTAGGAGTAAGAGGAGGAGGAGGTGGAGGGTGGTTAAGGGGGACGACCTACTTTACCTGGCGGGGGTGAAGGAGGTTGGGCGATGGCAAGCGAAGGCGGCGACGATGCTCAAAGACCGAGGACGTGACGACCAGCAGGCAGCACGGCCGTGGGGTGACGGGCCGTTGGTGGGGAGGGACCGGTAGGCCTCACGCACTACACCAAGCGCAGTCCGAGACGAGGGCTGCGCGAATTCGAATTCAAAAAAAGCCCGATCTGGGCCATGGATCGTCTTTGATCAACGGCCCAGATCGGGCCTTTTTTTTTTCGAAACCGGTAGGCCCCCTGCGAAATCCGACAATAAGAGGGTGTTCGGGTTGCCGCATAGTCCCCCGCCAAGCCCCCCAAAAAAAATTCCGAGCCCTGCGCATATTTTGAGCAGGCCCCAGAAATACTATTTCCGGTATTATCCGATGTCCTTTTTCCGGCCGGATAAACCAGATATTTAGAGGGCATCCGGATATCCGGAATTTCTACTCAGGCTACAACGAACAGATAAAAATAAAAAACTGCATGCAACACCGAAAATTCACGAAAACCTTACAAAACGACAAAACCTAACATTTTTTACAGAATGAAAAACTACAACATCAAACTGTTACTTTTGACACATAAAAAATAATATTTCTAAATTTATCCCGAGAAAGGATGCCAAAAAACGACCAAAAAGTCTAGCAATTCGTCAAACATACAAGAAAATCATTTTTAGCAAAGAGCGTGTTATAAGACTATAAATTGTTCTTAGTAGATTGACAAAAAGCAGAGTGTAAACAAGACAATCTTTAAAAACTCGAAATATGTACAAAAAAAAATAGTTTTAGTGAACACTTATTTATAGAACTATAAGTCATTTTCAGTACTTGGTAAAAACCAAAATCTGTGAAAACTAATTTATAAATCTATAAATCATATAAGTCATTTTTTGAGCCTGCTGTAAAACCCTTGTCAAAAAATATATGTTATGTAAGAGACGAATTCAAACAACTTTTGCCTTGGAAACATCTTCAAATTCTCAACCAACCACGATCTAAAATTAAAAAATAATAAAATATTTTAATAAAAAATAATATATTCGTCCATGTATGAGAGAACATATTCAAACGAACGTATTCGTGAAAAGGACGACATATGACATGTTTGGGAAACCCTCCAATACGTTAATCATTTTGCATACCTTATAGAACTATAAATATGATTTCCTTAGATAAAGAAAAAAATGGAATATTTTGGTTCATGAAGAAACAGTGTTTTCGAAGGCGGTACTCTATTGTACTATAATATATGTTGCAATACTCTTATTTACTCATTGTACTCTATTCTATTTCACTCCATTCTACTCGACTTCACTCTTCTCTACTCCAATTCACTCCCCTCCACTCTACTTTTCTCTACTCTACTCTACTACACTTTACTCTACTCGACTCTACTCGACTCTACTCAACGCGACTTTACTTAACTCAACTCTACTGAACTCAACTCTATTGTATTCTGCTCTATGCTACGCTACTCGACTCTACTTTGCTTTACTATTCTATACTCTACTCTACTATACTCTACTTGTCTCTACTCTACTGTACTTTGTGCTACGATACTTTGATGTACTCACTCTACTGTACTGTACTCTACTCTACTCTGCTCTACGCTACTCTACTCTTCTCTGCTCTACTCTACTCTACTCTACTCTACTTTACTCTACTCTACTCTACTCTACTCTACTCTACTCTACTCTACTCTACTTTAGTCTACAATACTTTACGCTTCCCTACTGTTTCGACTTTTCTCTTCACTAAGCTTTTCTTCTCTTCTCTACTCTACTCTACACTTTCCTACTCTGCTTTACTCTGCTCTACTCCACTCTTTTCTACTCTACGCTTCCCTACTCCTCTTAACTCTACTCTACTCCACTTTACTCCACTCCACTTCACTCCACTCTATTGTACTTCACTCTACTCTTCTTTCCTCCACTCTTTTTTGCTCCACTCCACTGCACTCCACTCTTCTCCACTCCATTGTGCTCCACTACACTCTCCTCCACTCCATTCGACTCCATTCGACTCCACTTCACTCAACGTTACTCTACTTTACTTTACTCAACTGCGCTCTCCTCCGCCCACGTTACTCCACTCCATTCCATTTTACTCCACTTCACTCCACTCCATTCGACTCAACTACATTCCACTAAACTCCGCTCCACATCACTTCACTACTCTACTCCAGTCCACTCTACTCTGGTCGACTATTCTCGACTCGATTCTGCTCTACTCTACACTATTATACTTAACTCTAGTCGACTTTGCTTTACTCTACTCCATTCTACTCTAAACTACTTTGCACTGTTGGAGTCATTTTGAGCCCGTTTTGAGTGTCAGTTTAGTTTGTTTTAGCGTATAGGTCCATTCGAAGTACTCCACTTCTTCTCGACTTCACTCCACTCAACTCTACTCTATTTGACTCGACGCAACGCGACTCGACTCTACTGTACTTTATGCTACACTACTCTAAGCTACGCTACTCTACTTTAACCTACTTTGTTTTACTCTACCTTGTTACTCTACTCTATAGTACCATACTCTACTCTACACTTTTGTACTCTACTATATTGTACTATATGTTGTGATACTCTTATCTACTCACTCTACTCTATTGTACTCCACTTCACTCTACTATACTCCACTCTTCTGTATTCTATTCCACTCCCCTCTACTCTACTTTTCTCTACTCTACTCTTCTACACTCCACTTTACTCGATTCTACTCGACTCGACTTCTCCTTTCTACTTTACTCTACGCTATGCTACTCTACTTTACTTAACTTTGAGGTAAAACGCTAATTTAGACAACAAGCTATCCTTGTCACTCATTACTGAGTATCCTCAAAATCTAGACATTCTCGACACACTTGCAAGAGCGGCGCTCTACCAGCTGAGCTATACCCCCATCATCCAAACACTCAATGTAATTTCACTC